AAAAAAAGAGTTGACCAGTAATTTTTCACTATCACGTTAAAGCTCTCTTGAAACCATGCAAAAGCTGATAAAAACATTTTCGATCGGACTGCTAATAACAAAGTAATCTCTACTGATCACGCTCCGTGGTCCACCCTGTATATTGCCCGTTTGATTCCACCGTTTCGTTGTTTGATTGTAGATAGAATAGTCGACGCCAGCCTTAAGAATAAATATGTAATCATTATTCGGTAGGACTATGATTTGACTACTAAACTTTACTCAATATCCTAAATTAATATGAATTAGCATCTTCAATAAGATGTTCATTTTCGATTTTATGAACAAATGTTTTAAATTAAATATGGTCCACTCGACAGGGTACATCGAATAGTGAAAATTAGTTTTTCATAAATGTTCTAAATTTTCAATTTTTTGAATGGACCATTATCATTTTTAATCATGCAACTGCATTCATCTATGTTCGACGCAAAACTGCATGCGGGGTCTCTACTGGATTCCAGCCTACTGTGATTGCATGCCATTTCCGTTCTGAATTAATATAATATTTTTTAATAAATAAATACATTTAATTTAAATAAATGATCTGAAATTTATTCATCTTTTAAATTGAAAATATAAATATGTATAATGCATTTTTAAAATAAAATTAATCTTAGACAATACCAGGGTACCCATTTGCAACATTCAACCAAAATTATTTGGCCCTACGCTACTTTACATCATTATTGAGAGATTCAACCTGGTGTACCAACCACAGTTACAATAATGTTGCTAGAGAGTTTAATCTTGTTTATATAGCTATTTCAAAGGATGTATCCGATATAATTTTGCTGTACAAAATCATTTCTGATCAAATTTGCTGTGTTGAATTAAAAATAACCATTCCTGTAAATAACATTGTGTACACGCTTAGGCATAATCAACCTTTTTACTCTAAATTGAGCTCGAACAAATACTCTGAACTTATTTTTATTTTCAAGGTAATACCTCGTATTACTAACTTGTCTTTAGGAATAGTTAATGTAGCCTTTACTACAAAATCCCGGACACTGTTGTATGAATGGTTTAGAAATTTTTTGCCCATACTACAATAGAATAATTCATTTTTTATATGTTTCTACGATATCACTTGTAAAATATTTTCTTAACCCGACACCGATAGCGAAAAAACCGAGAACTAACTATTTTGGAAAACTAACTTATTCGGCCGTCCACCCTACGCCCATGCATCCTCAAACCAGGCGGGCGTCGGCAATTCTTTTACCACCGGAACGCGTAAAATTCGAGAAACGCAAGCGTAGGTGCTGATCTTTGGGGTCGCATAAGAGCAGCAAACGCAACTGGATGCACGAATAGGGGCGGATATGGATATGCACGGCTGCTGGGTTGAGGTAGAGGCGGCCGGAGTGAGCGTCAGGTAAATAGTACCGGAAGCAGAGAGCGAATAGTGGAGAACGTAACATAACAAATTAGAGCTGAAAAATCGAAATCCCATCACCATATTAAATTGGAAATCATCAGCGGAGCTGGTTCAGCTAATCCGTCAAATCCAAAAACTATATCCAAGGGACACTCAGATGGGTACCGCACTAGAGCACAGCACTGCACTCTCGAAACATATCACATAAAGAGAGCAACGCGAGTAGCACAAAAGCGAGAACCTTCTAGATCGTACACAGCTAACAAAGCACAGCTAGAAAAACTAATAAGAGACAGCAGGGGAGCTCGTGACACATCCATCGGTGTCCCAAGACAGACTGCGTTGACAATACTCAAATTCGAGAACTAATCATTATAACGGCGAGTTTTCGCGTCGTTGATAAATGAATGGCACCCTGAAAAAATTAAAAACAACGAAAACGATATACCAAAGAACTATTTTGGGACATCGACGCCCAGTACTGAATTATATACCATTTTGTAGGTAATTTTTGTAGTAATAATAATTGAACAGAATTAGGTCGTTTGAAGCACGCCGATAGTATTTCTGATTGATCGAACATGAGGCCATAGTCTATTAATAGCTCCTTATCAGAACTGTCAAATGTAATGAATATGTCAGCATATTCCAAATACCAACTAATAGTGTTTGCTCGTTACCGCCATCGCCACGAGGAAAGACGTAGAGAAATGAAAGCTCAATGAACCTTGTTCATGGAAAATAAACCATTCGAGGTATCCCGTATGTTAAGGAATGGTACAAATAATGCTTGCCTATGAATACTGTCTTCCCTTTTAGAACACTCAGCTTGTCATATATAATATGTGAAAGAATATGACTAAAAAATAAGTTTATGTACGTATACAGGGTGTTCGTTATGAAACGCACTGTCGTAACACTATTACATTCCTTTTTAAATTCTAATGAATACGTGTATTTTCATTTTTTATTTCATATATCAAAATTTCGAGATAATCAAGGTTGAAGTTGCTGTAATGCGACCAATCAGAACGCGTTTAAACGGAGCGTAGATGACGTCGCCAGTCAGCCCGCAAGACCTGCTTACACTAGGCCAATAACACTAAGAGTATCGTCGTTGTGTCCCTGTTTATCTGCATGTAATTGAGTAAGATACAACACACGATACTCTTAGTGTTATTGGCCTACTGTAAGCAGGGCTTGCGGGCTGGCTCTGGACGTCATCTACGCTCCGTTTAAACGCGTTCTGATTGGTCGCATTAATGCAACTTCAACCTTGATTATCTCGAAATTTTGATATATGAAATAAAAAATGAAAATACATGTATTCTTCAGAATTTGACAAGGAATGCAACGGTGTTACTACAGTGCGCTTCATAACGAACACCCTGTATACAGAGTGCATCAGCCCAGATGCACGTTTGAGATTTGCGGTGAAACGGTGCACAATTTTGAAAATCTGATGTCACAACCATTGCATATTTTTTGATTGCGCATCGAATGGGCATATTATTATTGTTCTGTTAACTTCCGGTCGCAAATAAAAAAAATTATCTTAGCCATTTCAAATGATATTGAAATAAGTTAAATGCAAAAGTTGTAGAGCAAGAAAAAATAATAGAGATGAAAAAAAATCGGACGGATTAAACACATAATAAGAGAGATATTTGCGTCCGAAATTTTCTCATTTTTTGACAAATTCTTGATACTGGAGGAACGCCTTAGCTTCGTGCAGCAGCTTCACGCCGAACTCACGATTCGCAATTGTTTTGAGGTAAGCGTTCAGTCGGACGCAAACCCGTACAAGGTGGCTAAAACATACTACAATGTTATTTTTCATTAAATGTTAGAAGCCGAAGTATTCCTGCTGTAGATTTCCGTGATCCCGGATATAGATTTTGGAGTCTTCGTCTTCCTGGACGTGGATTTTCGACCCTTCGTGTTCCTCGCCGTAGATTTTGGAGTCTTCGTTGTCCTGGACGTAGATTTCGGAGTCTTCATGTTCCTCGCCGTAGATTGTGGAGTCTACGGCGAGAACCACCAAGACGCCAAAATCTACGGCGAGGAACACGAAGGGTCGAAAATCCACGTCCAGGAAGACGAAGACTCTAAAATCTATATCCGGGATCACGGAAATCTACAGCAGGAATACTTCGGCTTCTAACATGTAATGAAAAATAACATTGTAGTATGTTTTAGCCACCTTGTACGGGTTTGCGTCCGACTGAACGCTTACCTCAAAACAATTGCGAATCGTGAGTTCGGCGTGAAGCTGCTGCACAAAGCTAAGGCGTTCCTCCAGTATCAAGAATTTGTCAAAAAATGAGAAAATTTCGGACGCAAATATCTCTCTTATTATGTGTGCAATCCGTCCGAATTTTTTTTTCATCTCAATTATTTTTTCTTGCTCTACAACTTTTGCATTTAACTTATTTCAATATCATTTGAAATGGCTAAGATAATTTTTTTTATTT